GGTTGGTCTACAGAGTACGCGCGCAACATTTCCTCAAGCGCGGGGTTGGCACGCTCGGTCTGACCATCCGACTCGGGGTGGTCGGTAGTGGACATGGCAAGGTCGGTGCCACAGAACTCGAACAGAGCCGACCAAAAGTGGGAGGTGAAACGGGGATCGCGGTCTGATACGATAGACCGCGGACGTCCAAAGCGACAGAAGTAATGATCGAAGAAAAGGCGAGCGGCATCAACGCCACTGATGGACTCTTTGACAGGGACGGCCACGATGTACTTGGACGCCCTGTCGACGCAAACCATGATGCCTGTGTGACCACGAGCGTCACGCGGGAGACCAAACATAAAGTCCATGCTGACCGATGATTAGAGCTGATTGGGAATCGGTAAAGGCTGTAGTGGCGCCTCAGAGGAAGACGCGACCTTGGTACGTTGGCAAGCGTCACAACGAGCGACGTAGCGGGCGACAGTTTTGTATTGGCGAGGCCACCAATACAAACGGGACAGCGCGGCGTAAATCTTGTCGCGTCCGAAATGGCAGCCACTGGCTGAATCTGATACGCGCGCAGAAGGGAGGCACGAGTCGCAGAATCCCCAGGGACAACGATGCGCGGAGGCGTGTCCTGTGTGGGCTGGAAGTAAAGTAAGCCATCGCAAACAGAGTAACGATGGAGTAAGTAAGGATGGTAATCGCCGAGACTTGAGCGGCTCGGGAGTGGTGAGGGCACTAAACGCAACCGAGCAACTCGCGTCGATGGAGTAGGCGGCTCGGATGCGGTCATGGAGATCGGAGTGGAGGAATCCGATCGAGGCAAGGCCCACAGACGAGGAGTAATCTGGACGCCGAGAGAGCGCGTCAGCCAAAACATTGTCCTTGCCCGGTTTGTATTGAACCGAGAAATTGTATTCGGCGAAGAAGGAAAGCCAGCGAGCCATGCGGGCTGACATGTGGGGCGTGTTGACGGCAGTTCGCAACGACGCGTGGTCGGTGTAGACGACAAAGGGGTCCGCGCCGATGAGGTAGACGCGGTACTTGGTGAGGGCGTATTTGATCGAAAGGAGCTCGAGATCATGAACGGGATACGAGCGCTCGGCGGCATGCAGCTGGCGACATTGAAAGGATATTGGGCGCCAGCGACCATCAGCGTCAGGTTGCATCAAGCAATATCCGATGGCAAATTGAGAAGCGTCACACACGACACGACGCTAAACGGCTTGGAAAAGTCAGGGAGCGCCAAAATACTGGATTTGAGGGCGTCGAAGGCGGATTGACAGTCGTCCGACCAAACCCATAGGGCATCCTTGACGAGAAACCGAAAGAGGGGTTGCGCGATGTCAGCAAAACCACGAGAATACTTGTGGAGGTAAGTAGCCAAGCCAAGCCACCGGCAAAGGTCGGTAACCGAGGAGGGAACCGGCCAGTCGATGATTGTCTTGACTTTGTCGGGGTCAGCCCGACAACCACGTATGCCGACGAGGTCGCCAAGGACAGGGATTTCGTCGACCCCAAACAGACATTTGGAGAAGTTGGCGTATAAGCCATTCTCACGAAGTACGGTGAGAACTGCGCGAAGATGCCGACGGTGACCTTCGACGTCGGTCTCGGTTTCCGAGCCGCGACTGTGGATGTAGATGTCGTCGAAATAGGACGGGGCAAAGTCGCGAAAAGGGCGGAACTTGGCCGTCACCATGCGATTGAACGTCGCAGGGGCATTTGATAGGCATTTGGGCATCACGAGCCATTCCCAAAGCATTCCGCTTGGTGTCGAGACGGCGGTCTTCGGCACGTCACAATGGCTCATTAGAATTTGATAAAATCCATCGCGCAGGTCGATGGTCGAGAATATGGTGGATCGACCCATGCCGTCGATAATCACATCCTTGCGAGGGATCGGTGTTTGAGCCGGGATGGTAGCGGCGTTGAGCTTATTGAAGGCTTGAACGATCCGCCATTTGCCATTGGGTTTCTTCACATAGAACGTCGGGCTGCTGTGTGGGGACGTGCTTTCGCGGACATGACCGGCGGC